AGAGGTAACACATGTATTTTTCAGACCAAGATATTTTTGAATAAAATAAGTGTAAAGAAAATATTCACTTGTATTACCTGCAGCAGTATTTCGTTTATCTGAAGTGAAATTTTAATTAAAAACACTAATTTTGATTTCATTTCTTCTTTGATTTCTACCAAGTAGATCTGCCAGTTTTGAAAAAGATTATATCATTGTACTCCTTTCTCAAATTCAGATAAATAAAATTCTACTGCATCTGTTCCAGCTCCTAGGATAAATCTCCATATTTTCTAATACTTTGTTGATCCATAAAAGAAAAATCCATGAAGCAGTACAGAATATCTTCCTTACAATTAATGATTTTATTGTTATAAATAGCTGTAACCAATCTCTAGAGTAGAGACCGTAAGTCCCAAAAGTGCATGATTATGTTTCAAGGAACCATGATTGGGAATGATCAGTGTTGATTATTTTTATGTAATGTACTTGCATTATCTTTACATTCACAGTATTAATTGCCTTTCGTACTATTTTTCTTGCATGTTCAATAGTATATTTCTGGATTTATTAAATATAAAGCTATCGATACAAATTTTAATTTTCTTTCACAGTGGAGGTCGGCAATTTGTGCAGACTATGGGAGTCTAATATGGATACAGATTGATACAGATACAAAAGACTGATATAAACATTCCAGGTGACTGAATCATAACAATATAATTTGAATAATTCGTCGATGAGAAAAATATATATATGAAAGTGTACGTCTGTGACGAATAGAATGTCAATGACTATATGAATTGTTGATATAAGTATTTGTCAATGAAGTTAATGTCACACGTACCCATCTCAAGATCAGGTATTCCTTTCGAATGTGAGGCAACAACTGAAATATATCCATTGATTTCAAAATCCATTTATACGAGTCTCGATGCATGCAATTCAGATTTGAGCAACTTTTTCCCCGCTGACTTACTTCACCACTCCAATCGATGATCTGCCACTTCCCCCACTAGGCCAGTCTGTGTGTAATATCCGAGTGTGAGTGATTAGGGCTACATTGGAACTTGATGTATACAGATAGCTGTTACGCATGGCAAACGTAGAATCAAATGGATATGGTGGGAATGGCTCATTAGGAGGGGAATAGAAACCGTGTGGCCTGCCACCAGTTGCCCAAGCCTGGTCTAATTCGATCAGGTTTATTGTTTTCTGTCCGCGCCTTTGTCTTCTGGACAAACCATTGACACAGTATTATCTGATGGAAAATGGCTATACGTGACACGTAACGCCACTTTGTGGACTTAGTCAGCTCATATTGTTCCAAGATCGTTCCGCAAGCCAAGGCGTATTGGGAAAATTCGTTTTGCGATTTTCATATTGAATCAGTGAATCTTGAAATTCTATGTAATCATCGGGGTCGCAGTGAAATTTGTTAGACGAGTCTAATCTATCTAAAAATAAGTCGAAAAAGAAAGGATGACAATTTTCTTTTTCCCAAGATTTCTTTCTTGGAACGAGATCGAGTTTGAAAATTCTGTCAAGTAGATTTAAATTTAGCTGATCTCGCGAATAATCGACAGAAGATTGTTCTACTAACGGCGACTATAATCAAATATTTTTGACATTCAAATTATTTTTAATTCCATGTATATTAGTCCGGTACAACTTGAAGAGGGCTGAGAGGGATTCAAAGTTAGATCCTGAAAGAATCGGCTTCTAAAGAAAGCTCATAGACTGTTCAGTATTAACAATGTAACACAAATGTACAATGGTAAGCAATTGTGGATTTAAATTTAATGTTGATGCTTTTGACTTGGTAGTATTGCATGATCCCATGGTATTTGGACATTAAATAAATTAGATAAATATAGGCATTTCATTCACTTCATTCGGTGAATTTCTACATGTCATGATCCATCAGAAAGTTTCAAATTAATAAACTGCGGATTTTTATGCAATAATTTTATTACAATTAAATTAAATTTTTATAAAAGAAATCAATTTAGAGATCCGTAAGGATATTATAAAATACAAAATAAAATCAAACATTATAATTTTTAGTAACCTAATATAAATTATCATAATCAATTGATTTTATTGGTATGAATGAATACGTTACTTTAAAGTTACACGGTGTTACAAAAAATAAGTCTCATCGAAATTGGCCTAATTGATTACTTTGTGATTCATTACTAAAAGTAATCACAATCGTTACTGATTCAGATTAATAACGATGATTACACTTGTATTCTTTTAATCATTAATCTATAATTTGTAATTGTTTAATGCATGATTAATTTACCTTTTACTGTCCAATATCATTATGACTACTATAATACTATTTCTGTTAGTCATAATCAAAGATTTAATCACACATCTTCTTTGATCACTTATAATCATATATGAATCATGAATGATCAATGTATACTGGATTAATCAATAATTTGTACTGGATTAATCAATAATTTGTAATTATTAGTCACATCGTATCATATTAGTCATAATGAAAGAATTTTTGTGGAAAATACCGTAAGTGCTGGATATAAAATGTTTCAAAAGGAAGAGAAAAGTTGCTATTTATTTATTTGCAGATACTGTGGTGTTAATCCATAGGTGTTGATCCAGTTTGTTCCTAGATCACTCGTACATAGAAAAGCAAAAATATGTTTCTTTAATGTATTATTTTTATTTTCAAGACTGTATGTACTAGAACATAATGTAATATAATACAATGACTGAAAATTTGATGTCTGCCACTTACAGTTTCTTCCACGAGGACTCCCCAACTGTTGATCGTCAGCATGTCGATAAACAGCATGAAAGTACGCAGTTCATTAATCACACGTGTTAAGAATGTTATCACGTTGTACGCACTATGGTGAATAACGCAGGGGTAACAAAGGTCTGAGATCTTTGTTCAGTATGCTGGAAGGGTTGTCAAGGTCTCGGATAGCTTGCGAGGTCCTCATTCTCGCATCGTCTCTCGTCAACTCGTTTTGCTCCAACATCTTCGACAGAATCTTCTTCAGCTGTGGCCCGATGCCACCCTCCGCGGACGTTTCCAGTGTGTTTAGAACTTCGTCAGAGTATCCTGTGTACTTTCCGAATCCCTGTTTCCTCGCGTCCTTGCTCAACGAGTCGTACAAGTTCGCCAGTTGCTGAAGAGTGGCGCTCGGTCGCACTTTTGAACGTCTTAGGTAACTGTTCAGACTCGGCCTTGGCACTTGCGTCACCTTCTCGCCTAAACGCGTGAATCTGTCGAGGAATTAAAGAAACTAGAAAGTCGAAGCTAGATAGTCTTGTAACTTAATAATTGAAAATTCCGTTCCACAGGCGGTTGTCTATTCATTTTTTTAAATCGCGTTTGGCTCGACTTGGCATTGAAAGAAATCCTTTCATCGAGAAAATTGCGTTTCTCAATAATTTGAGAAACTCTTAAACCATCGTGCCTGATCTCCCAGAAAAGAAAGCAAACTGTCCAACAGATACTTCACCTATTTTCATCCTCCTCCTCTTCCATATTCTCCAATTTCTCTTCGGACACTGCCACGGCGCTTTTCGATTCCTCGAGAGGCTCCGCGTCCACGAATCTCGATGGTGTAGGTTTCAAGATTTCGTACACGTCTCGGACCACGCTGTCGACGGTCGGTTCTTTCTTCTTGTCGCTGTCCGCCACGATCGATCCAAGGTTCACGGAACTAGCAGGACGAAGCGTGGAGAACCGCTCGTGATCCTCTTCAGGGACTTCGTGATTCGTTTCTTGCACGGCGTGCACATCTTCCGGTTCCTCGTAGTTCGCCTCCGGCGTGGCGTAGTTCGTTTCTGGCGTTTCCTGGTTCACCTCTGGCGATTCTTCCTGGTCGATTTTACCTGGCTTCGACGTCTCTATCGCTATCAGAGTCTCTGTGTCGTCGCTAGATGATAGACTTCCCATCTTGGGATCCTCTGTTTTGCCCTTCGACGCATCCGTTTGCGTTCTGTCGTCGATCGATGTTTCTTGGATCTTGTTCTTCAGAGCTTCTTGCGTTTTGGAGTCTTCCATTTTGTTTGTTCCGTCAATTTTGGATTCTGACGTTCCGATTTCGAAGACTTCTTGCGCGTGAGATTCCTCCATCTTGGAGGCCTCTTGGCCCTTTGCTTCTTCCACTTGCTCATCTTCGTCTATTCTCTGTGCGTGAGATTCTACTGTCTCGGTCTCGGTTTCGTTCTTGCAAGCTTCCTGGACCACCGGTTCCTCCGTTCTGTCGTTCGATTCGTTCGCTTCGCCTTCCGATTCATCTGACGATGATTGAATCACATTCGTAGTCGAAGACTGCTCTTGAGAAGCAGCGGTGACGCCAATTGCGGGCGAGCTCCAGGTGTTCGTTGTCAATGTGGAACTCCGCGTATCCTCTTCCGATTGCAGAAGTTTCAGCTGCTCGACCGCGTGGAATATCACCTAACGTATTAGAAAGAGTAATTTCCTTTAATGGAAATTCCATTGATTTGACAAATCGTGGAAGTATGTTCATGTTTTAATATATATATATAATATATTAAAACATGAACTATTATTACTATTATTATATTTAATATATATATATATATATATAT